CTAGGGACCGACTAGGCCGCAACGGGTGAGGCCCTAGGTGTTGATATACGGGTGGTGCTAACCACTGCTTCCGCATGCGTCGAGGTCTCGATGATGTCGACGACTGCTCACGGCATGTTTGGCAGTTGCCATCAACGGGCGCAGGCAAGAGGCGGCGACCACGGCAGCGTTTTGACGGGCTTAGAACTATCATGTCCGCATGCGGTAGCTTTTCTAGCAGTCTAGCGGTGGCTCAACCAGGAGGGAAGATTCGAAACCAGACGCGGCGCGGAGTGCGTGCGTACGATGATGGGCTGTCGTAGTTTGGATCCTCCCACACCAACAGCAGGCAGTGGTCCTCGGGCCCAGACTGGGCTGGGATTGTGGTCTCGGCCGGGCCCAGCAGAATTGTTGACAAGGACAATGAAAAGCAAAAAGAAAAGGTCGAGACACAGCCTCGAGTGGGAAACCTGGCTTGCCTTGCACCTGGCCACACGGCATCGACGATGCACGTAGCGGATGGAAGAGCGACGCTATCTTCGGATGGCATCTTGCCGCGCCCGGAAGAAGAGAATGACGGATTCGGATCTCGTATCTTGTTGGCATGCTGACCTCTCCATAATTAGCTGACCGGCACTGACTGCAGGCCATCTGTTTGGGCAACACGACACTATCGTGGACGATGCAGGGCCGGCGAGGCGTGACATGTATCTTCCTCCCCATCCTCAGCCTCATCCGAGAAAATATGGCAAAGCTGATAATAGGGCGGGTGGAAGTAGCATCTGAAAGTCACCTGGTAGGTAGTTGTACCTCGCCTACTCGTTTGTGGCGCGATACCTCAATGGCGGATGCGTGTCCTCAAGTTATGGTTCAACGCTCCGGAAGATGCTATGCAGGCGCTGTACCTTGTGAATACCTACCTACCTTAGGGACCGAGATAAAGAGTACTGGCTGGATGTTTTCAGCAGGCAGGGAGGGAGGGCAAGATAGATATCTTCACAGTCCGGATACCTGAGGTGCATAGATACCTACCTAGGTGTGGATACCGTGCCTTAGGTTGAGGAGGTACCTTATGTACAATGTAATGAGGGTGCTTCGATGGGCGGGGAAAGAAGCCGCCGTTGGTTCTTTCCGGGTGGTCCCAGCAGCATGGCTCTGGCTTTTGGTTGGTCCCAACAGCAAGGAAGGTGTGTAAGCCTCCCGGCGATCCGCACATGGACCTTTTTTGTCTTTCTTCCTTGGACTCCAAACACTGACACCCCCCCCCCCCCCCCCTTCCCGGTCAACAAGGTGCTGCGACTCTGCGAGGCACGAACAGGCGTAGATAACTCACAAAATGGTTTCTTTTCTATCCCAGGTATCCCCATGGGTACTCGACAAGGCGAATGGTGAGTGTGTACCTGAGCAAAAGAGGATGGGAGATAGAGATGAGAGGGACATGCCAGTCGGTAGACAAGAAGTGACGGAGAGTTCGGTGCTTACTGGCGCCCAAACTCTCTCAGTGCCGCCGGGGTTTTCTCCGGCATCACCTACAGTAGACTATTGAGTGGAGACTCACATCTGTCTCCGTGTCCGCGTCCGCGTCCGCGTCCGCATCCGCACCGGCTCTATCATGTCCTGGTAGCCGTAGTTTCTACGGCACCAAGATGCGTAGATACGGAAAGGTTTTCGTGGCCGTGGCCCTGTATTCTTCTGCAAGGCACCTAAACCCGGCAGAGGAGGAAGTAAAATGAATCCAGGGCTGCAGACCCCAGAAGCGGCCTCCATTGCCCAGACCAAGCGCCATATCCCTGCCCTGCGAATACCTACCTTGGCTACTTGGGCACTGTATCCGTATCTTACCTCACCTTTAGAGGAATGAAGTACTCCGTACCCGGGTTCCCGTTCCGCCCAGCTGTCGCTGTCGCTAGTGGTGCACGTACCGTGCACGCGGTGTACTATGTAAGTCAGGTATCTAGGCAAGGTAATGTGAGGAAAGGCACTTAGTGTTCGGCTGACTGGCCAATCAGACCCTTGATCACCTCTAGACCTCGCATTGCCGGCCACATTCGGCAGGTGGTTCTTGCATCTGGACTAGTTCACTTCGCCCACCGTGAGTCCGTGACTGGAGCGTTGTATTGGATGGAGTCAGGTGCTCACGTACTTGAGCTTTCGCATGCACTTGCAGGCATTCTACCAACCGTCACCTCACGTACAGGTGTATTCTTTTTTTACCGGGCATCCACCACGTCGAAACGACGCCAGAGCTACTCAGATGTCGGCGTTGGAAAAAGAAACGGTCGCCCACTCGTTGCTGCCTTACTTTTGCTCGGGATTTGGCCCATGACATGCTCCATGCTCCGTGCTCCATACTCCATACTCCAAAGTCCCTACCCCGGTCGGTATTCGTCAACAAGACAAGATACTATTCTCGCCGAGTATGGACAGAATAGGAAAGCACAACGACTACGGATGCAAGACACTCACTCATCTCCTCGCTCGCACCCTCTCTCCGTCCCTACCTGACCTTGCAGATGCTCTAAAGCACCCTGCAAACCATATTTACAGACTTGAGGATGAAGGGTGAATTCAGACTCTGCAGCGCCTTATGCCGAGTAATGTCCGTGTCTGCAATTGCAGTTGCGCCTTGCATATGCACCTAGATTTCAAATCGTATTTGCATTCTTCATTTCCTTTTCATCGTCTCTTGTCCCTTTTCGTTTCTTTTCTTGCTGCTACTGCTGCTCTCCCGCTTGCATTTGATTCTCCCTCCTGGCCTCGGCAGCCCGGGGTCACAGCCAGCCAGCATCCCATCTCCGCATCGTCCGTAACTCGTCGGCCCTATCGTCGTGCGCTTGTGGATTGCTCCTTGGATCCCGGAAGGGCACGGAAGGGCAGCCAAACGTTGATACCTTGAGCTCGTACCCTTCATGTCAGCGCCGTGACGTTCTCTGGTAGAAGCGCCAGGGCGGCTATTGAAGCCTCGAGGTCAGTCGAGGCAATCCCAGGAGCCAGGGCAGTCTGCTACACGGTGCAGGCTCCGTGCCCACGGCGCCACGGCGAGGTGTACCTCTCCACCTGTTTCTGCCGACAAGAAACATGAGCATCGAATTCCGAGTTTCAACGCCTGGACCTTGGGGACCCAAATAGACGGCAGATGCGTCGATTTCTGCCCTCAAAAGCTTGTCATGATTTGACATAGCTCATCCCATCATCAACGGAAGATCACCGTTGTTACATGTCTTGGCATTGCATCGCTCGGGCTGATGGAGGGGGACGGGTGACGGCTCGGAGAGCTTCAGCTCTCTTCTCTGTAAGCAACCAGCAATACATTCAAACATTAGCTGAAAGTGAAATACGTGCGCCCTTTGGTTCTGGTTTTTTCAAAATCAAATAAAAGGGGGCCGACGATGCGTACCTGTGCCTCGTCCGTTCACTCTATGCTTTGGACCGACTGCTCCACCCCTGACACCCGTTGGTCCCCTTGCCTGGGCGAAGCCGCAAACCTTGACTCAGAGTGCAATAGTGTGGCAACTTGGTATAAAGCTTATGTGCGACGGTTCTTGGCTAGCACCCGTTGCGTATATCTCTCGTCTCTTGTCCTTTCTGTCGGCCAAGTCGAACCCTCGAGGCCCGTTCACCTCGAATAAGGGTAGGCTGTCTGTCGTGGCTCAGAGCGAGCGGGGTCGCCTCACGCTTGAGCCAGGGCCTTCAAGCAACTTGACTCCGCCAGGAGACACAGCAATGCAGCATCAAGCTGTATCCGTTGCCAGGCACATAGAACATGGCCATCTGGACTCTGGACTCTGGACTCTAGACTCTAGACTCTAGACTCCACTACAAGGTAGGTACGATGCGTACAACATCGTGTGCGCAAGGAATGCGAGTGGGGCAACTTAAGGCGGCGTCTCCTATTTGATGAGTCTGCTACCTTGGCTTAGTAACTGTCAAGCCCATACACGTTTCCCTTGTCGAGACTAATGAGTATGAGTCTATCGAATAGTCGTAGGCACGCCGCTCCACGGCACCACCTTTCAGTTCTGGGCCTTTTTTGAATGCCGGTCTGCGTTGGTCTGGCCCTCGAGTATCCCACCTAGGCACTTCATCTACAGCACCTTTTCAAGTAGTCATGACACAGAGGTGCAACGCCTGTTGCAGAGGCTGGGGATTGCCGAGCTCCCTGTACCGAAGCTTGTCGTGCCAGATAATCGATACGGTCCATCGACTGCTTTGGCTCCGTAGTAGCCAGTTGCAGCTGATCCATCAGATCAATCCATGACAAGACAATGTCGTTCTGAATCCGTGACCGCTGCCCGGAACCAGCCTTCTCGATGCCGTGTATAATCACATCTCGATGCTCCGAGGGACTCTGTTGAGCACAATCTTTGGCCATGCTTTATCCGGCGCGATAGGCAGACAAGGCAAATCCAGTCCGGCGCACTACCTTGGCACCTTAGCCTCGACTTCGAGGCCATACCCCCGTTGCGAGGGAATACGTAGCGCCATGTTCGAAACAAGGGAACGCACCTCAGGATAATCTGAACACTTGCGGACGCTAAGCAAGGGTCCTGGGGTCCTGGGGTCCTGGGGTCTCGAGGCAGACAAGCACGGATACGTGCCGTGCAATTACGCATCATTATATACTTACCTAAGCCGCGGTAGAGGCAGAGGCCAGGACTCAATTCCAAGAGTCTCAGAACTACAGCCCGATACTCTATGCGCATGTCATGACAATTAGCCTCGTAGCACAAACCGTGGGGCTTGGCTCACTTGGTGTACCCGGTCGGTTGATGTCGACGTTGACGTTTGACATTGACGTTGACGTCTGGCCGACGCTTTGGTGCGTCCCGTGGTCCCTTTGGTCAGACCCTCACCATATCAAAACATCATGCCCTCCGGCCCGGAATTGCTGCCCTGCGGTAGTCGTAGATCTCGTCCGAGAAGAGGAAAAAATCATTTGCAATTGTGCAACGGCGCCATGCCCTTTGTGGCGATACGCCATCCCTATTCGTGCTCCTGACAAAACCCAGCAAGCCAATAAGATGCCGGATGCGACCTGCCAGCCCGTCACAGACCCAAACCCGCCCGGGCGTCTGATTCATGCATTCCCGTCAGCTCTCTCCACGGCCGGCTCAATGCTCAGACAACTCAACCAAGACTATCCGTCCTCATCCAAGCACACGAGGTACACTACGCCTACACTTCAATTTGACGTCAACTTGTGCACAAACAGCGCGCTTCCTCCTCTCCTTGTCTCTATCTTCGGGGCACACTCTGCTCTGTAGAGCAACGCTGCAGTACGGATACAACACACCATATTCCATTAACCCATTTGATATTACCAACTAGCAGTCATTCTTGCTGGGCCGAGTCTTTACGGGCCATAGGCCCAACAGGGTCAAGCCTCGACCTGTAACTAAGGTAAGGTAGACAGGTGTGGAAGCTGATGGAGGACAGTTAACGGGCAGAGCACATGGTACACGTGTAGAAACCTCCCCCCCACCCCCCCACCCCCCCCCCCCCCCCCCCCCCCAAAAAAAAACATGTGGCTAATTCCTCCAAAAGGGTGGTGCGCTCTTCCCCAGTCTCACAGGTCTCGTCGCCGACTCCAAGGGATACCACATCTCCATGGTTGTGCCCCTCGCCGGCTTCGTCGTCTCCCTCGCCTACCCCATCTTCCTGAACACCATCTGGAAGAAGGACCTGGATAGCTTCAGCGAGAGCAAGATCGGAAACACCGACGAGCATGGCATCATTGGTGACCCGGCGAGAGAAGATATCAACAAGGCCGGCTCCAAGCACTTGGAGGGCTAGATTCTTTTCTTGTTTTCTTCCCCCCCTTAAATCATTACCCTGAATGAATGAATGAATGAATGGGTGCAGATAATACAATCGCACACCGGATATAAGAGAACTTGTAAATACCCGTACCTTTAATTATGGTTTCTCCTACTTTCACGTTGGTGCCTCCATTGAGCCTTGCTTGATTCTGAGTCTCCAGTAAGCTATGAGATGTATGTCGCAAATCAGTCGGTTGGTTTTGGAAACCATGATTCACCGAGCATCGACCTCGAGCTGAGACAGAATTGACGATTTTGGTGCCGGTTTCCATCCGCAAAATTTTTGAGCATCGTCATGATCCCACGGTATTGGGTTCCGCGAGGAGTAGAGTACCGACACTCTGTCTCTCCAAGCCCCCTTCATTGGTGAAGACCAAATTGATGTATAGTGACCACGGGTTCTCGGTTTCACCTTCAAATGAGAATGCCTCTCGATAAAATAGACAAGACACCAGTAGACAAGCGGACTACTTACTGTACCCTTCTGGACATCGGGCGAGCCCTCGCGTGCCGCAGCAGTTACATGCCATGACCCTCTATTGTGTGGGTAAGGTATAGGGTTTGACTGATTTCGCCGACAGCAGCATCAAATGACCAAGGCCTTGATTTAAGTAGATGCTCTAGGTTCCTGATGGTGGAGTGACTGCCTGCTGGCTAGACTGTGACTTCGTTCGGTGGCGAGATCTTGGCGCGGCCACGGTAGTTAGGAATAGCTTCAACGGTGAAGATTTGGCTTATGCCACCCAGAACCTCGTGGACGTCAGGCAGCGACGACGCGACGACGAGTTCCTGGGAAATTGGACCTATCGATTTCGAGAGGGCACAGCAAGTTTGGCAATGGAAACCCCTCCAAGTCCAAGCTGGCCTCGAGCAACACCCCCCCCAAAAAAAAAAACGAAAGAAAATGTCAGGCTTAAGTTGCCTTGGCTACGGGTTCCCTCCTCCCCTCTTTTCTATTTCGTTTCATGGCCCGAGAACAGCCGTTGGCGCCAAGAACTCTCGCATCCAGGTGCCATGATTTTCACAACACCACCATCTGCGCAACAGCGTACGTGTTGACAGTGCACAGTGACAGCCCAGCGCAAGCTCCCAGATCTACCTACCTAGTCTATGTCTGTTCGTACCTGATAGCAGACGTCGTCCGAACTGCGATTGAGTTTGAGCCACCGGACGCCGGACCCTTTTTCTAGAGAAACAACTCGGCCTCGGGATTCAGGTGAGTGTGTGGAGCACGGGTTGAGCAAGAACAACCGTATCCAGAAGAAAAGTCATACCGGGGGTGCCAATATGGCGCGAGAAGGATGGGCACTGTTTTGCAAGTTGATCTGTGGGACTCTCACTCGCTGCCTCGTTTCTTCTGCCTCTCGGCTCCCAGAACAAGCAATCCGATGATTTGGAAACACGACGAGACGTCGGGAGTTAGCGTCGCGGTAGGCCAGCAACAGAAGAAGGTCGGCAGTTTGGGTTTGAACCGGACTCGAGGCCATCCGGCGGCTATCGATTCTCCTAGTTGTGAGTGTATGTGGCTTCCCTCTGAATTTGTGGTACCATACTATCCGTATCGTGGGTTGACTTGGTCCGTTTCTGGAAGACACGAAATTGGACGTGATGATAATCGACGGCGCTTCCCTACAAAAAGAGACAGAAAACGGCCAAGTGCGGTTTGTGAAAAGGGCGAAAAGGGCTTGGGTTGTATTCCATGTTGTGCAAGGATGGGGAAACCTGGGAACGCAACGTCATGTTCAATTTCCAGATCTCAGGTGCATTGAGCCCTCGGGGACAACGCTCCCATTTGCCCAATTGCCCATTTCCCAATTACCCTCTTTGCCGCGGTGGCGCTACGTTGGACCAGGTGTGCTTGTTGAGACCTTAGTATCCGTACCTTAAGGTAGAGGAAGAGGGTCGACGTAAGCGGACGGGCGAATCAGCATCGGGACGCCACCTGAAACGGCGTGCGATGGTTCGTCAGATGGCCGAGCTGGTGGGGGCCGGGAGAGACAGAAAGAGGAAGAGGGGCGTACAGTGTCCCCAGAGGTCTGCAGTCGACAGCAGTCGAAGAGTGGTTGTGTTGACTAAGAGAATCTTATCGAGGCGATTGGCGGACGATGCTTGTCTGGGCCGGCGCTGCAAGGTACCCGATGGTGGCACTAGCCTTTTTGAGACTGGACGAACAGGGTGAACAGGGGCGCACGACCGATTGCTCCACCTAACAAGGAATGGCCCCCCCCCTCCCCCCGTTGAAAAAAAAAAAAAAAAAAACTTGCGACCAGCCTTGGACTCCTAGGAACTAGGACCTAGAGACAGAGAAGGCATGAGAGGAAGAGATTGGCTGGCGCTCGCCGCTGTCTCATTTCCTGGGTGCAGATTTCCAGCCGTTGGTCTTTCCTCTTCGGTCTCTTGGCGACTCTAAATGTCTCTCTCCGTCTCCCTCACTCCCTGTCAGTGCCTGGCCTGCCCTCCGACGCGACAAGCCTCCCTGCTGCTGGTTCTCTGCTGCTTGCCTCCGTGCCTCCTTCCAGGGCCCCCGGCACCCTCGTTCGGTGGAATCGTGGAGGCATCGGAGAAGGGCCGCTGTAGCTGCAGTCTGTACTACCTATGTATTCGCAAGGTACGAATAGACTTCCATGTCGATGCTGTTGACCGATGGCAACGCCGCGGCGGTCAACGATGTTGGGACCGTTGTTGCGGTGCCACCAAGTTTGTGAGCAACTATTCGCATCCATATCTCTAGTTCTATATGGAGTACGGATACTCCGTACGCATAAACGACCACCGGTTCATCCCCTTTTCTGTTCACTTGAGACGCCGCCAACGGGCCAGTGCCACCCTCTCCAAACAGTTCCAAACATGCGCAGCCACACAACACCACCACCACTGGCACCTCGTCCACCTTGCTGGCTTGAGGCACCAACAACCCCGGGACGGTCTGTTCACCGACCACTGGCTGCGCTGAGAAGGCTCTGACCCGAAGCGCTTCCCAAGCCAGGGTCGTCCGTGGCTGGCCCTGTCGGCCAAGCGACTCCAAGTGGTTGCGGCCCAGGCAAATAAAATTAAAAGGAGAATCCTCTCTGTCTCTCGCCCAGTCTGTTCTGCACCAGGCTCGCTACCACTTACCTAGGCGTGCTAGTGTACCTTACTGTTAGTGTTGGCAACGCTCTGCTGAACCGTGCGACCCCTCGCCTGTCCCGACTCATCCCCATGTCCTGATCCCCCGTCTCGCGACTCGACTCCCACTCTTTCTCCCCACTTCATCTCCAGTCTTTTCGCTGTCCCTCGCTCTGCCTCTGTCTTTCTCCCGCAACTCCCTTTGCATCGTCGCGCGCTTTTTAGGTCAGGCCCCTCCAGCCCAGTCACTCTTTTGCCTCTTCGTCACGTTCCCACATCAGAGTATTCGTCTTCTCTCGCTCGTCGATACTCTCGTCCTCTGTCGTCGATTCACTCGTTCCGCCGGCTTGCGCTCCCTCTCACCACACCACTGCCGTCGATTCTATTGTAATTCGAAAATTTTCAAGACTTTAATCAACCGATTTCCCGGTCGAACCATTTCAATCGCTACCCCCCGGCATACCCGCACTCGCAACGCAATGCATATCCGCTCGCTCGCCTCTGTGGCCTTTGTGGCCTTCGCCGCCCAGGCTTTCGCGCAACAGACCAAGGTCTTCAAGCGCAGCATCACTACTGGAAGGGATTTGGGTCTCATGCGCCGCGCCGACGACGGTTACCAACCCGCTGATGAAGTCTGCAACAAGGGTGGTAACACCTGCGCCGAGGCCTGCGGAAACGGTTATGAGCAGTGCAAGTCCACGGATCAGGCTGTCCACTGCTTCAACCCGGCCGCCGGCGAGACATGCTGCTCAACCACCAGCGGAAGTGAGTCGATTTCTCATACAACACGGCCTGCATCTTCAATACTAACATTGTCGGTTAGACTCCTGCTTGGCCTCTTTCTATTGCACACACAGCAGCAACACGGATACGACCTGCTGCCCCAACGGCATGAACTTAGGCGACTGCGCCGCCAATCACGGCGTTAGCGGTGCCCTCACCTCCGATCCCCCGGTTGTAGCGAGCACCTCTGTTCCTCCCACCACCACCAGCAAGAGTAGCACCGTTCCCCCCACCACCAGCTCGACGCCGGCACCGCCCACCACCACCTCGTCCTCGATTGTTATTGTCACCACCAGCAGCACTCCCGCCCCTTCTTCCACCCTCGCCTCCTCCACGTCCGAGGTCCCTAGCACTACCGAGCTCACCGCCGAGATCTCAACCACCTTTGCTCCTAGCGCTGGCACCAGCACAGCCTTCGCCTCAAGCAACGGCACCACCTTGGCCACGACGTCGACTCGCTCTAGCGCGAGGAGTACCGTTTTCCCTTCGTCGGCAACTACCCCGGCGTCCGCCCCCAACCAAAACGCCGGAAGTAGCAACGGGCCCGCCGGCATGGCCGTCCTTCTCGGTGCTGCCTTCGCTGCTGCCCTGCTCTGAGAATGTGCGACTCGCCCATTTGGAAGCGCTGGCCATGTGTTGACTTAATACGTTGCGCACGCATCACTTGTCAACACTAGGTCAGTGTGCCATGTGTCACGAGCGTAATGAATCGAAGCAGCGAGCGGCATTGTGAAGGGGTCCTCGTGCTCTGTTGGGATGTTAATGTTGGCCGGGTCTCCCTGATGCTTATGATCCTCCACCTGATCACTCGAAATGTACGGAGCGGCTTGATGAACCTTATTATTTGTTTATTTTGCGATGGTGTTTCTGGATACGAAGAAGATAGGAGACACGAAGAAAAAGATGGATGGTTTGGAGATTTGGATTCGATCAGCGCTTATATCCCGTTTCTGTTTTTTTGGTGAACGGCACATTTTCTTTTTGGCTGTTCACCCGTACTTACGATTCCCCCTCTTGGGCGAGCCTGCGAGACCTATATACTCCCAGCTCGATTGACACCCAAAGTATCATAAAGCTTAATATCCCTCTGGGAAAACAATAACATCACGACATTGCACGCAGCCATGGCTTGACTTTCTTATTGGTTTTCCTGCTTTTTCATTGCATGTTCACGAGATATCTTTCTACGTCGTGCCGTGCAGACCTCTCATCATATCTACATGCCTTTGGGTAGTCCTGATCTCCCTTTTAAACTGAGTGGTGTCGAGAAAGTGGAATCAATCTCGGTTGCCAAGTCGGAATTCTGCGGGGACGGACGGATGCCAAGATGGACCGCGGCGGGACATCCGAGAATTCAACATGAGTGAAATTGCCCCACGGCGCGTCCGCACCCGAGTTGCGGGGGCCCATTGCGGGGGCCGAAAGAAGAAGTTTCGCCGGTCCGGTCCGGCTTTCGATGCCGAGCACGGGATACTACGATACGCCGAGGGGGGGGGGTTGTTACCCTATGCCCGACCACCTAGTGCTATCGGTGCCTGCAGTCAGCGTCAGCGAGTGTGTGTGTGTGCGCGCGCGTGTACCTTGCCACCTTGCATCGCACCAAGATTTCTACGAGACAGCGGTTGGTTCCACGCATGCGCGACATGCAACGGCGTTCCGCAGCAAGGGACTGACCCCTACAGTGCCTTGATACCGATTGGGCCATATGTGGCTTGTCGATCCAATAACCAGCCTCTTTCTTCAACGATGTCGTTCTAGACTCCAAGGATTGAGTTACCACAGTAATCCCGCACAGAGTTTGGATATTTGCACATCTACTCCAGGAATCAGCACTGTCAGATATCGAGGGCAAAGAGTTCAAGAATGTTTGATATTAGCGCCTGCTATTCCAAAATACTATGCGACTGGGTATCATGTTTGACGCTCTCTACAATGACGATTCCACCGTTTCCCCCATGGCGCCTTATCCGATGCGCTTATACACACTACGGCCTTGGCCACCTCACAGCCCCTCATTCCATGGCCGCCAGAATTGGTTTCTAAATGTCGGCATACACTTGACCATTGCCGGCGGCTCCTCTTGCCAATTAATCTTCGGCGGCTCCCCGTTATTCTCTGCGACAGTCCAAGCCGATGCAAAACCCCTCTCTTCTTTGATTTGTCTTCCATCCTTGACATTGTATGCCAAGCTGACGCTCGGTATGACCGCAATCTTGCCATGGCCTAGCTTCCACAAATCCTTGCATAGCAGTGTCGGCTCGCCAGTGTGGCATTCGCCTTGGTATGACCTCCGGAAGTCGAGCTTCTTGTTCAGGAACGGCTCGCCAGTCACCGCGATGCCTCCGTTCCAGCACGCGAATACCTGCAACGGCTTACGACTCAGGTAGCGATCCTGGGAGTAAGGGTGATTCCAAAACATGTTGACCACGTCACTCCACTGTTCTCCCTTTGGTGTTCTGTCAGGTATCGGCAAAAAGGTGTCGCCATTGATGGCTCGTGAAATCCACGAGTCGTAAAAGGATGGTTCTCCATTATGCGGCGCGAATCGGAGGAAGTGGTAATCCATCGCGCAGGTCATATCAGCTCCTTGTATCTGCTTCTGGTATGCCAGCTCTAGGATGTCCTCGGTGCATGCAGCAACGTCGTTGAGAAATATGATTGTCGCCTTCGGGTCGTAGGCATCGGCCTCTGCCATCATGGGCTCCAGTGCTAGATTTCTCAGCTTCGCGAGCTTTCCGATGCGGTCTCCGCTGTGGGAGTCGATGCTGCTCGTCTGTAGGTGATAAGAAACTCCCATCTGGTCGAGGTGAGATTTCAGGCGGTACAGTGTCTCGTATGTGCCGTCGGTCGAAATGCCCTCAACTATGGAGAGGGCACAGTTCTCAGGCCCAATGATATTCATTGCTTCCAGAACAGCTCCTATCAACTGAGGCAGCAGGTCTCTGACTTGGCGCAAGTCGATCGCGAAAAAATAGTGTCTCTTGTCCATATTCATAGTTGGCCGAAGGACTTGGTAGCGAGTGACGTTTGGCGCAGGGCAGTTCACGATAGGAAAGCCGCCATTCTTGGGGTCCAGAATCGCCTGGACATACTGACTTGCTTCGCCAAACTTGTCTGGACGACCTTCATAGAGGGCTGGTTGGACCCAGTTGGGCGAAGAGTCGTTCATCCAGCTGCCGCCATACTCTGTAGCTGTTTCAGTACTCTACGGTGACAAGAAGGAAGGTTGGCGTGACTTACGTTCTGCTGTCCAAGGTATTACAAAGTATTGGACCAAGGGTTGGTGGAAGAGTAAAAAGAACCCCGTGATCAGAATGAAAACGATAATGGCGATGAAGGGCGTCCGAAGGCGCCTCGGATTATGAAAGTTCGCAATCATGGTGTATGTACAGTGGGTGTTTGACGAAATCGCAATGTACTGAATCAAGTTTGGCTAACTGAAGAGTGTCGACGGCATACAAATGACCTTCAGATCTGGCAGCAGCAATTATAACAATAGGATTGACGACAGTTGCCAAGCGGGATATGGACGCAAGCTAACGAGACCGGATCGAGCGAATATGCAGATTGTTGACTCCGACGCAGGGAAAGAGTAGATGCCAAGGTCAAGAATGACGGAAGAGAAAATTAAGGCGGGAGGAGGGGCTACAAGCTCATATCAGGTCCCGGTGGGTAGGAGCACTGACAAAAGCTAAAGCAAAGGTAACCTGGAAGGCTGGTCGAAACGTAAAGCCGATATTTCGTTCTTTCTGTGTCTTGGTCGGAACTCTCGGCCACCCTGCAGCAACAAGTAAAGGTTATTGCATGAGAGTAAAACAGAAAGGACGGGTGTTCGGTTATTGAGTTCTGCGTAGGCAAGATAAGCGTGACCATGAGCAAGCAGCTCACATGGCCGAGATTGGTCAATGTTGCTGAGAGAGAGAAGCAGTTCCCGCCGAGATCCGTATAAAATGTGTTTAGGACAAGAGACGGAGCCCGAGCGATGCGAGGCGCAGCGATCCTAGAGTCGGGAGCAACCAGGATCTGGGCTGGGATAGGAGGAATGTGGAAAGGTATCGAGCGAGAGGTAAGGGGAAACGAGATGGGAGGTTAAAAGAAAGCCAGCAAAGCACCTGCCTTGATACCGACGGACGGGGAGCACCTGCTTTAGTTTATGTTCTACAGCACGCACACGCGCACGGAGAAAGAAGGCGGAGACTGAGGAGGCTCCAGGAGTCCAGGTCCTCCTCGGGCGGGCCAAGTGATGTACCGGTATGTGCCGGCTGTGTCTGGTATGTGTCAACTTTGCAGGTTGCGCCTCCCACCGTGACACTGCACATGTACTCCGTACCTGACGTACCTGACGTATCCAAAAAGGTACACACATCCCCATGGAAGGCAACAATGGGCTGAGCTCGCCCTACCCGGATGCACATCCACCATTGAAGGATGTCCACGAACAAGGGAGGAACGGATCCAGTTCCGACGCTGCAATTTGATAATGACCCGTCGATTGCCCACATGGGAATCCTTCCATGCCAGGTACTCTGCCCACTCATCCAGCTTTTCCTTTTTGTATTTGGCCTTTTTTCTCTCTTTCTCACCGCAACGCTGAACAATGCTGTGTGTACGTCTCTTCTGCGCTGTGTCCTGCCACAGTCATTGCTCCGGAGCCGGAGACATGTGGCAGGAATGCGTTCTGTTGAGGCAAGGCAGAGAGAGAGAGAGTACACGGTTCGCAAAGTTCCACGTCCCGTCACGGCATGTTTCACCTCCGGCTCTCACTTGCTCGCAGCCTAGGTACCTACACTAGGTACCTCGCCAAGTAAACAATGAGAACAAACGGCAGCATTTGCGATATCCATGAGGGAATGTTCTGATTTGCAAATTCGTTCTTAAGACAACATCTCTGGTCAATATTCCGGATCAAGTCCCTGAGTTCAAAAGTGGGAGATTCCCCAGTGTAACCCTAGAAGAGCAAGGTGGCCACCCAAGGCAGCTAGCTCGCTCATTGCAGCTAACTCTTTTATACAGCGGCAACATCGCCCGGCCAAGCCCCTGGGACACGCATCGGTCCTCGGAGAGGTATTTGTCGGCTTGGACAAGTTACAACTTGCTGTATTGGAACTCTGTCCAGCTGTTTCGTGCCCACTCTCGACACCTCAGTTCCGCAAACAAAGTGCGCGACGAGGTCTCAGACACACTGCGCATACAAACTCAACCCAATCAAAACATCGGCTCACCATGAGGCACTGGTCCAGCCAAACACAATTGTTTCCACCCACCCGTCTGTGCCTCTTCACATGGGCCAAGCCTGGAGTTCTGTCTCCGCCAATGCCGCAGTGCGCCAATGCACGCTCCTATCCGGTCTTGTACATTTGGCTTTCTTCCGGGATCGACCACGGGCTGAAGGTGCCGATCCTCCCGCCCACAATCTCCCGAGGTTGCAGCGGAAGCACCTGCAAGCATGTCTCTTTTTTTCTTCCTTTTTTTTCTGTCTTTCTTGGGGCCTCCTAGCTACCTCAAGAAAAATGCTGCAAAATAGGTAGCACAGGTAGCAGGCAGAGTCATGACGTCCCCTGCTATACAAGCACAACTTCTTCTATCAATCCAAACCGATCCTTGTCCCGTCTGCCGAACCACCAGGCGGCATTAACCAGCCATCGACGCGACACCGATCTGCTTTCATCCACGCTTTTTCTGACGAACTCGCAGGCCTGTCGAGTTTCCCCAGCAAAGCCCATGTCCAGTTCGGCTTGACTTGCTCAAACCAAGGTAGCAGTCTTCGACAATTGAGGGCGGGCCTTGCGCCCTTTTGACAGACAGGGTACCTGGTTTCTTTCTCTCCCTCCTAAGGTACCTTATGGAAGGAGTCGAGGGGTGACGTTGAGCTTTGAGGCGCCGCCCCAATTTCGCCGCAGCCACTATCCCGACCCGACTGAATGGGCCGGCGCAGGCGGCAATGAATCGACTTACACACCCGAAAATAGCGTCCTTCCCTGTTGGCTCTGCCAAAATCAAGCGAGTGAGTACTTTGTTCTTTGACGCGATAAATGCGCAACGACACCATCTTTGGACGCTTTTGCAAATCTCCCACCGCGGGTTAATATGCGGTCGGACTGCTCATTGGACTCGTCGAGTCTTCGGCTTTCAGTTTTGCTGGACGGACTGGAGGGCCCGACATTTCATGCGAATGAAGCTAAAAAAAAAAACATGAGCTGGACAGTGGAAACTTGTACCCGACGCGCGGATTCCGGAACCCCCACATAGACGACGAACTACTGTGTACTAGTGTAGAGGAGTACCGGGCGGGTCAAGCCTGACTCGCCGGTCCAATCGACTGGCCCAGTAATCTTCTGCCTTGGATACAAGCTTTTGCCAATGCACCACATCTACACACCAATTTATTTCATTGCAACTCACTCGATCGCTGGGACTTTGGTCGCTGTGCTTGATTTCGGTCGGGTCATGTTGGATCTGGGCAATTTTCTATGAATTGAGCAGTTTCGTCACCCTCTTCGCAACGCTTTCCTCGAATTCGGTCACGCCATCCTCTAGGCGCGTCATGTTTCCTTGTCTCAACTTGTATACCAGCCGTCTTCTGGTTGTCCGCTTTTCCCCCTCATCTTCTTCGCTGTCAGAGTCTTCGACGAGGCCCTCAATTGCCCCGCGCATGAACCACCGATCGTGACTGACGAGCACCACTGCACCCTCCCAGTCACGAAGTGCCTCACGCATAGCCGTGACAGTCTCGTAGTCGAGATGAGTAGTCACTTCATCAAGGATGAGACAGTGTGGCCTCCGCCAGAGAAGACGGGCGAGCTCGCATCGCACCAGCTGCCCTCCCGATAGCTTCCCAAGTGGTATATCGGAAGCAACTCGACCAGGCAGGCCGAGGCTGCCCAGAATGCCGCGGACTTGGCCCTCATCCAATTCCCCGGCAACTTCCTCAGCGAGCATCGACAACGCCGTCAAAGAAGAATCAGCTCGACCCATTGCTTGCAAACCATCAACCGCATGCTGCGAGTAATATCCCAGCTTCAGCCGCGGGTGCGTTGTCACCGTCCCCGATGTGGGTTTCGTCTCGTCGACTAGTAATTTTACCAAAGTCGACTTGCCGGCACCGTTCAATCCGAGGATACCGACTCGGTCGCCCATGTGAACGGACAGGTTTACATCCTGCAATACGATTGGTGCCGCCAGCTTTGTTTTCACCAAAGTCGGATAACGAAATGTCGCATTGTCTACCGATATGAGAGGCCCAGGGAATCGGAGGTCTAGAGGTTCCGGCAAGATGAAGCTCACTGGTCGTTCATCCTGTGGAACGTCTATTTCCGCGCGGGCTGACAAATGGAAACCAGTAAGGTCACGGTTGAGCTTGAAGCGGCCGCCTTTGGCGCTGACCGTGAGACCCCATCGGTCGTCAAGTTTCTTCTGGCGGGATTTGGCCTGCCGCAGCTTGTTTTGGTCGTCACTGGCCTTGCCTGCTTTTAGGTTGTTGGAAATGCTTTGCTGGATGTGCGCTTTCTGCTTGTCTTGGGCATCCTTCATCTTGGTCAACCAAAGCTTACGTTCCGACTGTGATGCCTCGTATGTTGGAAGGTCACCATGGAAGTACGTCAGCCCCTTTTCCTTTAGTATTAGGAGGTCGCTGCATAAGGTGATGAAGTCTCTATCGTGAGATACGAGGATGAGCGTCGGGGCTTCGTCTACGTCTTGAAGGGACCCGAGGTACCGCTGAAGCCATATGATGCCAAGAAGGTCAAGAAAGTTTGTGGGTTCATCCAAGATGAGGATGTCGGTCTCCTGGAGCAACGACACACAGAGCGCGGTTCGCATCCGCCACCCGCCAGAAAGACTGGTTACGGGTTTGGACATGTAGGCCTCGGAGAATCCCAGACCTTTCAAGATGCGCTTGGCTTTGGACTCGGTCTCGGCTACTTTGGACGGCTCAACTAGCAGCTGGAGGTCTGCGAGCATGTCTAATGCCTCCTGTGTCTCGCTCTTGATAGATTCGGCCGAAATCTGGTCTTGCGGCTGTTCGACTCTAGCTTTTGGGTCAGCTACCTCGATATTGAATCGGAAGGGCCCACGTACAGAGATTGAGACTCGGCGACCTTTTTCTCAAAGGCCTTTAAAGCTTTGCGTGCCGCCAGACCGCGATCCCCGCTACGCAATCTTGCATTTTTGTCGACTTGAAAGAGGTGCTTCTGATTTCTCTCATGAAGAAGAGCGCGAATCGCCCGTACCGAGCCAAAAGAGTCTGTGCTATTGATGCCATCGGACAGAACTACGCTATCAGTCAAAGTTCGATCTCAGGGGAAAGATAAGGGCAAACCTTTGATTTCTTGCTCAACATCCGATCGTGCAGTCGCCTGTTCAATAACGTGCTCCAATACCGTACGGCCTTGGACGGAGCCATCCACTACAGTCGAGGCGTCATCGGGGCGCACATCCGAGTCGGTGTCACTGATGCTCGTTTGCTGAAGAAGAGAAATCCTAGTCTCCTCGGGTATGCCGGGAATCAGCTTCTCGGCGATGGCTCTGAGAAGTGCTTGACGCTGTCAATTGTTTGAGCGAGTGAAGAAAGTTCTTGAGTACTTACTCGACTTGCCTGAACCATTTCTTCCGACGAGCGCGTATCGCTGGCCGGCCTTCAGACGCAGCTTGGCGTCAACCAGGATCTCGGTCCCCTCGCTCCGGGCTTTGGACTTGCCCTTGGCACCGGATCTCCCAGCCGAGGTGACGGTGATGTTGAGGCCATCAATGTCTAGCTGCGAGATACTGGTTAGATTGTCTGCGCGCTCACTCTTGGCAAAGCCCTGAAGATTACTTCTCGATAGTCTGCTGTCTGAATATTGAAGCGCGTCTGTTTGCTAGTGCAGAGGATCGTGGCCACGGACTCGGACGCTATCGACGTCATCGCTGGGACTTTTTGGTCGGACAGCGGTTGAACCAAACGAAGGGGCCACCAATGTGTTGGAAGCAAAGCAAAGCAAAGAAAAGAAAAAAACGTTTACGAAATGAATTGTCTTCGATGCTGTGCCTCAAATTTGAGGTGCCAGGGGGATTAATCTCATTATACTTGGTATTCGGTTTGGTTTCTGGCCTGTGCCAAGACTATCTTATCCGCCTCCGGTGCTCATGCTACTTTCCAAGCACGTTTACCACCATGACGGAAGGGGAAGCTCGTCTCGCGTGTACTCGGGTGGCGTTACACTCTTTTCCCTGCAGCAGAAGTGACTGCGAGGTACGTACCTCATCTCGTCCTGGCTGTCCTGGAAGTTACGGTTAGGGTGCCGGCCTGGCTTGCCTTGGTGTTCTCGACCTCCTCCGCACAGAGTGACTCACGCCGAACACTGGACGGAGCCCTTTGAGACGCCCGGTCGGATCTGCCGGGTCCCACCCAGCCAAGGAGATGATGGGCCACCGCCGTACGGTAAGGTAGCCAGGGCTGCGGAGTGGTCTCTCCATCTCTCCCCCCGTTTTGGTTTTCGGCCGCGTCACAACGGCCGGAGTGACTCAACCGCTGGCCCGACTCGCGACCCTGCCCTGGTGCCGAATTGGCTCGATTCCCAATCGTAGGCGGCCTGCTACGACGCCCATGAATTTCCATCCGGAATACGCGCCTTCACAATAAGGGAAGCGACTCCAAAAACTCCCTCGTCTCCCTCGCATAAACCGACTCCTCATCAACAATCTCGTGCATCTTCAACTCCTTGCGCGCCCACTTCCTCGCCGCCCCATACTTGCCCAATCTTGACGCCGCGTACGAAGCGTACTTGTACGCCTTGTCCAGGTAATCCACCAACCCGATCTCCTCAACGAGACTCACGAGCCGCTCGGCGTCAGGCAACACATCGCCGCCAAACGCATCGCTCCCTAATTCCCGCTCAATCAACCCCATCAACCGCTTCATCTCGATTCTCTGCTTGTCGTCGTTCCGCGCAACGCACGCCTGGCAATCGCACGTGAACCCCCACTGCGCAAGCCTTGCCCGTCGCGCGTCCGTGTCCTGCACCAGGGGCGCGTAGGTGATTGTCACCTCCTCGCCGGGCTCGATATCCCGACCCGCCCAGATGATGCGCCGTCCGCCTACGGAGGCGGCGCCCGCGTTGGGACGGCAGGCGTGGTTGAGCTTCGCTATGCGCGGGAAGATGCCGATGGCGCCGGTGCCCATGGTGAAGCCGTTTGTGCGAAAGATGAGGGCTTCCCTGCTGATCCCGTGGTCGGCGCCGTCGGGTGCGCGGTGTTCCGGGCACGAGAGGTAGGCTGCGCGGGCCGTAGCGTTCAGCTGGGCAAAGGCTTCGTCAACGGCGGAGGCGATAGCGGCAAAGGCGAAGCCGTGGCCTGGTATCAGGCGGCCCGGTTCGACTGTGAAGAGGGGCGTCTCGTCTATGATGCGGGTACCGAGGGGGATTTTGGCGAGGGCGAAGATGCCGAGGCCTTTTCCTGGCGAGGGGCGGACTTGCCAGAGACCGTCTGCTGATTTGAGATCTATTTGTGATGTGTGAGTGAGTTTGAGGTAAGGTGAGAGTACGAGTGTGAGGTGAGGTGAGAGTGTGAGTGTGAGGTAAAGTGTGATGAGGTGAAGTTGATTGTGAAGGACGTACTTGTTCCAAAGCGAACGCGGGCTTCTTCTGAATCGCCTAATCCTTCGGGTATGACGCCCTCATCGGCGAGGGCCAAGTCTTTTGTGGCTAGGATCCCGTACTGAAAAGTTTCCTTCTTGTTGCTCTGCGATGGTGAGAATGTCAACGGGTTCGAGGCGCATACACGATCCTTAAGCTGCGCGTCGTCGTCGGTCGTCAAGCCGGCGTCGTGGGCGCTGATGTCGTCGTCGCAGCTGCCATCGCATGCAAGCGCGCCGGCCGGATGGTGTGCCGCCGCTGCGATGTACAGCCACACAGCGATATCGAACAGTCTCATAGTGATTTCTTTTTGAACCAAGTTTTGTGTCTTGCTTTTGCTGATTCTTTGTCTGCTATTTTGGGACAGCGACACGCGCATGCCACGCCGAAGTTCAGATGAAGAAATTCGTTTTGTTATTGATTGTATTTTGTAGTGTCTGTGGCCTTCCTACGAATTCACGAACATTTAGCGCCAGTGCTGTACGTCCTGACATTTGTTCTTCAATTGATGCCAGGGGAATGGGAAGAAGGGGTGGGATGAACAGGCTGCGTTACGGGGGACAGAGCAAAGTCGAAACAGATCTGCCGTCGCAGGATCGTGTCAACACGGGTTCGGAGCGTTCAAGGGGGCGATGCTGAAACAGAAACAAGCAGCATAGTTGACTAATCCTCCACCCCTTCTGGATACCTTTTTGAAAGAGGGTTTTTGGTGCCTTTTTGGTAAAACGGTACGTTACTCATGAAAATCATTGTCAGATGCTTGCGAAATTTGGTTTAATTTTATTTTGGGCTGTGTCGCTTGATAATGAGGTGGAATCAAATTCAGGGTAAGATGAGGTAGAGAGAACAGGAAAGCATCCGGCATTGTGTTTACCTCGGGGTGGCAGTCAGTCAGGGGTCAAGTTCTGTTTCATTTCCCTTGTTCTTGCTGGGCTCGATTTCTGGTGCTTTCCGACTGGCGAAATTCTCCCGCAATAAGATGGCTTGAAACAGCTGTGGACGCTGGCAGTCAGTCTGCTAGGTAGGCTCATTGTGGCCTTTTCTTCAGATAACGGACTTGAAGTAGGATGTTTTTTTTCTTCCGCAGGTGACGAGGTTATTGAGCACTAGGGGCCATTGAAAAGGTTAGGAAAATGACTTCGAGGCGTTCTGCTTTCGAACGTGAGGCGGCGAATGTTCCAATTTTGAATGTCCCGCCGTCTTCCGTCGATGAAAAATGTCCAAACCGCACGCGACGTCGGTGATCAGCGGTGTTCCGGCGTCCTTCGTGGTGTCCAGCGGACCCATACACCCGGCATCCGGGGCCGAAATCATCGCCGTGACCGGAGACGTGTTCGCCACAAATGACAAGGCCCGAGCGAAATTGAATCGTTTCGACTTCTAATGGTCTATAGACGCTGCGCCTACAAGTCGGTGGAATGCTGCTTCTTGAGGAGCATGCGCGATTTACTTGAATTACCTACCTTACCTACCAATCTGTGTGAGGCTGTGTACCGTTGCACTGCAAACTATGAAGTTCTACACCCGCAATTTAGGTCTTTTCACTTGTATTCAATCTCATTATGTATCTACATTATTCACCGATCGAGGTTATCGTATTGGACAATCCGTCACGGACAGCTTTTATTGTATTGTATTCATCATGAACTTCCATGCTCTTCCAAGCACGGTGGATTTTTCAAATGCCCATGTACCTTCTGTCGATATCGTTGCTTCCTTTCTTTTCGTAACCAAACGCTTCTGTAGTACCAATCTTCCATATCCAGTTTCTTCCATGGTTTATTCACTCTTACTTCATACAGATACAGCACCGTCACTCGGCCCCTCTCCCAAAGTCGTGGATTTCTCCTCACAATGTGTTCTACACTGCACCTCTTTCTTCACCTTCTCTCTGTGCCGTTGCAATTTTCTTTCGTCGAGGGAAGACATACACAAAGACAAGGTCGATGAAACCGAAGGCCTTCAAGAATAATCACAATGATAAGAGCCCCGTATAATAATCGTCCTTTTTCTCCAATGCTAAGATAGATAACGACGCCCGACGCCACTATCGCATGAGAGGCCGCTGTGGGCGGGTACTCGCAGGATAGCTTGCCTAGGAAGTGGTGAGGAGACCGCGTTGGTGTTGCTTGGGGGCAGGTTGCCCGCCGGCGTCTGCATGCGGTGATGGGCATTCCGCCCGCGACACCAAGATCCCACTCCATTACTCCTCCACCGGCCTTTCGTGGCAACAAAAAACCCTGAAGAATGGCTTAGGAAGCTAGAAGCACGTTTTGACCTGGTGAGGCGGGTCACGGCACCGGGTGCGCGGGTGTGTCGAGGTTGAGATCTCCGGACCTCGGCAAACCAGTGTTAAAAGCAGGGATGCGATAGTCTGGTTCAGGTATATACGGTGGCAAGTCTCAAGGTAGTATAAATCTTTGAGCGAAATACAAAAGTCTCTTCATTTCATGGGATGTCGCAAAGAAAGTGGTGGTGTTGTGGGAAAGACGGACGCGATGCAGCATGGTGTTGACTTAATCGGCAAATGTCAAAGTTGATTCTCTTCTCGACAGGCCAATGTCCCAGAGTTCACTCTCAGCCCGCCATTGGCTTTGAGGTCTTCCTGGCAGCCGAGGGCTGACGGGGCAAGCAGTTCTCACTGTTACTATTTCGTCATCTTCCAGATGGACTGAGTTTGCCGTCTCCTGATGTAGTAGCAAGTGGGTGTGATTACTGCGATGGAAAATCACTCTCGGATCTCTTTTCTCTGAAGCCAATTCCGTAGAATCTGCTTGGTATTGATGCAAGACTGAGGCAGAATTGGTAGGAACAGCCGACAGCCGTCACCTACTTCTAGTCACCCAGCCTGGCTATTTGAACATATTACCATCCGCAATTTTTCATGTAATTTACCGAACAGATGGAAACGGGCCTCGCTAGCCACGATCGGAAATAGAATATATTGCATAGGCCAGTTGGTTGGTCTACTCGCGGCTCTAAGAACAACGAGAGAAGTGTGGGGGAATGCAGTGAGTAATTTCGCCTCTTGAGCACTACGTTCCAATTTTCTAGCAGAACCCGCTTGCAATGCTGTTGCAGTCATTTTTGTCTTCTCGAAAATTGAACTTACGTCCTATCAGCTTCATTGACAACTGGATGGCTCCGCAAACACAGGCAAGATACATTCTGGATCCTTGGAACCGTGGACGCGGTTCGAGACAGCTCCGTTGATACGCAGCTTCTGGTCGTATAGTGATAGCTTACTGCTGGGCAATGCGTTCCCTAGCTCAACGGAATAAGCTCCGGACATTAACCGTGACGACCTTTTCGGTTAGAATTGCGAAAGGCAACCCTCAGTTCTCTTAGTTCTGGAGCCTCGTTGTAATGATCTGGTAGGTCACTTTCGGCTGGCCAATGACTTCCTTCTGTGCCGTTCTAATGACGCAAGCGTCCAGCACCAGAGGAAGATGTTGCGAGGCAACTCCCATGACTTGGACATGTAACCGGATGTCATTCAGACTCATGATCATGAGACTTGCCTGTAGAGTAGCCTCGCAGATCAACCTTACGCGCTCACTTGTTGCTGCGACTTCTGCAGTCGTACAGGTCATGGGTTATGTCAAGGAACAATCGAATTAGAGATCTGTATAATGGAAAACCAAAATCCGCAACCTCTTCCAGTCATGAATTGCCGTAGACCCTGCCGTGGATTGTCGAAAAGTACTGACCGATCAAAGCTGTTGAATTGTATTCCGAGTACCATGTTGAGAGATCTGGGATAAGAAACCTGGTCAGAGCTTACACAGCACAAGGGGAAGCAAGCCATTGAGTGCATCCGCTCCCTGAAGTGGCCAGTACATCAAGTCGGCATACAGAGTACCACTGCGAAGTCGGGTTCAGTAACGAATCAGAAGCCACACATTCCATACTCTCACTCATTGGTCATGTTTAAATCATCTTACGGCTGATGACGTCTTTCAAGAATAATCCTCGTCGAGCAAATTGGCCCCGGCCATTCGACGATTTGCCGTGTCCAATCCGGAGGCGGGCATTACCAACGATTCTTACCGCCCCACCGAAAGACGGGACTTGCTCCGGTTCCTCAGTGAGTTGTCAAACGGTCGACGGCCCCGCAGGAGCCCAGCCACCCCTCGGACGACGACGGTGAACCAGCCACATGGGTCCCGAGAGCCCGGCAGGAAGGCCAGCTCGTAAGCTTGCTTCTCGAGTCGACTGCAGTCAACGATGGAAAGACAGGATCTATGGCAAAGCTAGTACAACCTGTCGTTAGAGTACATGTGTTGAAGCATACAAGGAAGTTGGCATCCATGCATAGCTGCAATGCGGGTCATTGCCAGGATACGAATGTCGTGCAGACAACTACAACTACATGAGCTGAGCGGTGTAAGAAAGGTTGAGGCCTGGTGATGCGAGAGGTGACGCCGGGTGGCGACAAAAGTGTGGCAGTGGCGCGAGAGAATGTAACAACTCAGAGCGACGACATGCAAGAGCCCGGCACGCCGACTTTACTTCCTGAGCGGTCAAGACGCGGATGTAAAATAGAGGACGGACCACACTTGTCGAGGTCTCGAGGTCGTGATTCCAGTCTCGGTGTACTTCAGATGCTGACTTGCCTCCAGGTCCAAGGGTGGACGTGGTTCAAAAATCACCGACCAGTCTCTGCCGGGCCGGATCGGTGTGTAAGCCGGTGAATGTATCCGTAGGGCTTCTGTTGGTCGGGCCGACATTTGTGGGCAACAGGGGACAAAAGAAAGAAACAAACGGGAGAGGAAGTGCGGGCAGGGTTCATGGTTCGAGGCGCCGGCATTGTGATGGCAGATTTGGCAAACAGATTGGATACCCGCTCTAAGTGCATGCGCAAGCGATCGGTGTTTTCATTTCGAGTGAGCTGCGGGATACTCAGTGCCTTGGAAGCGGACAAGGACCGATTTGCACGAAGGGTAGTGACGCCGAATGCCAACAGGAGCGAAGAGTTGAGGACATGCTTAGTTCTAACAGAGGCTGAAAATGGCACGCAATCTCGCTGAGGGAGAAAAAACTTCGGGGCTGCGAAATAGGGTTTATGTGTGCAGCGACTGGCTGCCTCGCATTGTCATACGCAGTGGGGACGGATCTCGCTCAAGTGCACATGTCGTGCGAACGTGTGACCAAGCTTGTAGCGTTTGGCGTCTGGTTCCGTGGGTTGAAGGCGGATCGCGAAGTGCTTTGGCGCTTGTTAGCTCCCAGCTCCCACGCATCTGAGGACCAGGTTGTCGTAAGCGGTCGGTCTTTTTGATAGCCACGTTGGAAAAGAGAGTGAAGCCCATGGATGTCGAGGGAGAGTTTGCAAAGACACTTGATTCTGATGTTTCACGGTTGTCGAGTGGAGCTGAGTTGAGTTGTCGAGGTTCCGTACGTCGGCACCTCATTCAAACCAGGCCACCACACAAAGAGACAGATGGAGAAGGCAACTGCCAACTGCCAACTGTACCTCAGTCGATCTGCTGTCGTGGCTGTCGGTGCCTTGCACTGAAGGCAAGATGAGCAGCAGAAGGAAGGCGTGGAGGGCTTGGCACGGCCCTTGGTGTTTGATCTGCCCACCCAATGGAAGGCGCGGACCGACACGAGAATGGAACTGCTAACTTGGGCGCACTTATCTAATCATATCTTGTACTCTGTTCCTCACCTATCTCAGGTATCTGTACGGTATACCTACCTTGAGGTAGCTTTCTTTCCCTGTGTGCCTTTGTCCTCGTCTTTATTTATCCTTCGGTCCTTCGGGAAGCGTTACACCTTTTTGGTTCAGGCTTCAACAGGAGGCGCCTCAACCGGCCACTTCCACTTTCCAGCAACAGATCAACTCACGTTTGTCCAATATTTACGCACTGGTGACGCCGCAGTCCCTGGTCGCGCACGGCCATTGAAGGCACCACCATTTGACAGGGCTGCCCGGGACGACTACTATGAATCGGCCTAGCCAAGGCCCAGACGTCGATACGATACCGTGCTCTGCCCCAAATCCATGCTTCTTTCTTGATGGGCCATGCCATGGTGGATGCGAATCGATTTTTTAGAGTGGTGTCAACCCGCCATGTCCGCCTGGTGCTCCCATCCATCCGTCCATCCCCGCCAGAGATCTACGAGCTATTACTGGGAAAGGCGTACCAAGTAGGGACATGGGCTTCCGCTTCCCACCCGAGCCGTCAGTAGTTTCGACAATCCCAAAGTTTGACCTGGCCTTGGCTCTACCCGTAAGAATACAGATATTGGCATATTGCTCGTCCAGCTTGCTCGTACCGTGCGTCTCATCCTGCGGCCTCCGAGTCTCTGGGGCTGCCAGTCTGCCAGCCAGGCTACTCGTTGGATCGTCCTTCTGCAGACTGCAGGCTGCAGTGCGAGGCGAGCTGCAAGTCGCGGCAGCCTGGGATCGCCGCCAATCGACATTTCCCCCTTGGACAAGCCTATTGCTAAGACGGCAGCATAACCTTACCGTCACAACTCTTCCAATGAAACCCTGGCCTGGAGGAACTTCTGCTGTGCCTTGCTCTAGCTGCACCGAAGCCCGGTTCCTGAGGAACCACTCACCGTCGTCGGATTGGTAATGGCCATTATTTCTCACAATCCGCTGCTGGGCTCACCACAAGGTAGCTGACTTTGTACATGACGGTCGGCCGACGGCATATGGATTGAGATGAGGCAGGCAGACTGGGCCGTGGTGAAGGATCTAGATTGCATGCTTCCTGCTCTACCAAACTTCCTGCTACTGTATGCTTCTCTCCCCCTCCTAAAGCCCATCACAGTTCGTATCGTCACGGCCAAAACACCGCCGACTGTGGAGTATAGTCAGGAATGCTGCTCCATTTCGTACGGCACCGTCTCAAAGTGCACGGAAACTTGAAAGAAAGCGACGGGAATCCCTCCGCAGGCACACACTGACACACAGAATCGGATACAGGCACAGGGCACAAGCGCCAGGCCCCCAATCCATGTTCCAATAGAGCTGTCCTTGACTCCGTCTCCCACGGGCGGCATGGATTGGGCCGTGGGTAATAGCTGCGCCCGGGTCACTGGCTCTTCTGGGCAAGGCTAAACCCCCACGGCCAACTGTCATTCGTCCATCAGTCCGTGCCTCGTTTTTTCTCTCGCTTTCAACGCGCCAGCGAAATCCCATCTGCACCTCTTACGTTGCATCCTTCAGCCCATTCACACAACGTCCGTCATCCCTCGACATCCACCGCCGCTCGACACCGGTGTGGTTCCCGCTCCTTGAAGTTCCCACCGATCTGATTTCACCCTAAATCCGTTAGCGTTCCTTTCTTGGCCACCAAGCACCTTTCCCCCCATCTGCCAACCGAGACAAGCGGCCAATTGCCAAACACAACGCGGTACCACACCTTAGCTATCAAAAGGGAGAGGGAAGCAACAGCAAGACAGGCCAGTCCACATAACCAGAATCTCCCGCCTGCTGTCCCCGTTCAGGCTCCAGGCTCCAGGCTCCTGTTAAACCGTCCGAGTTGCGCCAACTTTGGCCAGCCAAAGCTCCGTGCCGTTCCGTAAGGCCAGCCGGCCACATCGCTCTCAGTCTCCTCTGTCTCTCTCTCACGCCCCCGACGACAGCCACCCCCACCAAGCTAACACTCCCACACCCACGCCCACGCCCACTCCCTCCAGACCAGTCCGCCGTGGTGCCCCCTCCATCCCTCCATCCAGAGCCCACGGTCAAGGTCCCTGGTCCACAGTCCACTCACACTACTCGCGCTTCCCTGCCGCCTCTGTTTCTGACCCGTCACTTGTTGCTTCTTCTTGCCTGTCCGGGCTACTGCCGCTGGCACTCGACTGGTGAGCAGCCATGAGCCAAAGAAGGGCATCCGGCCACAAAAGCAAGCCCAAGGCACCTTTGCTTTCCGACCCTGACACCGATACGGTTGCTTTGGCTCTAGAACCTTTGCCTCTTCTTGCTCCTGCAGACGGTCCCACAAACGACAGCCCTGCCGCTGCTGAAGCTGATGTTGCCAATCCTTCGAATACCTCGTCATCCGCCCAAACCGCCTCTGACCCATATAACACGACACACTACCCTCGATCTCGACCTTCAACGTTGCGGAGTCGACCTTCTACCCTTTCACACGCCTCCAGCGCCGGCGAACATGGTGACGATACGATCGAACCGAACCCACAATCTCCCGTCCCGCATCTAGACGACGGCATAATGCCCTCAAAACCTTCTCTCCTGCGCGCTACGCGCGACGATGCCCCTTCGTACGGTGCCGTCTCCCAAGACCCCAGCCGCAACGTATCACCCACAGGGAGTGATTCGAGGACGGGAAACGCACACCCGCTCCGATATGTCTCCGACACATCCAAATCAGCTTCCTCGAGATTCTCCAGCGGCTCAAGAAGGGAGAGCTCTCGGCTTTCCGAGGAGATGGACGCTGCCGCCCTTACAACCGGGCTGGAGGGGCGCTTTGGCGTGACCCAAGCCCCGGTGACGACAAACATGCTTGAGGATGCCAAGTCAGATGCGGCCGAGGATGAGGTGGACTACGACGACTACACGGGCAGCGAACCCGACGAGGATCCGGTTGACAATTCGCCTCACGAAGTCGTCCGCGCCTCGGTGCCACCGACGGATAATATAACCCTGTCCATCAATACCCCGCGGATGTGGACACTTTCGTTTTTGTTTTCGGTTCTAGGTTCTTCTACCAACTTGTTCTTTTCGCTACGATACCCCAGTGTTGCTATTACGCCCGTCATTGCCTTGCTGCTCGTCCACCCACTTGGTCTCTTGTGGGATTACGCCCTCAAATATCACAGCGATCCTCCGGAGGAATTTCTGGATGGTGTTCTCCAAACTGATGGCGAGAACCGTCCGCCGGCGAAACGGTCCCTGACCCGATTTCGTAGGTGGCTCGCGCAAGGGCGGTGGAATGAGAAGGAGCATACTTGCGTCTACGTGAGCAGCAATGTGTCGTTTGGATTCGCCTTCGCGACCGATGTCATTGTTGAGCAGTCCAGGTTTTACCACCAAGAAGCCACAATAACCTACCAAATACTCCTCACATTATCGACTCAAATCCTCGGATACGCCTTTGCCGGTCTCACGCGTCGATTCTTGGTGCGACCCAGCGGCATGATTTGGCCCGGTACTTTGATGTCAGCGGCCATGTTCGGGACGCTCCATAAGGAGGAGAACAGAATCGCAGACGGTTGGAGGATCTCGAGGTGGAAGTTCTTCTACCTCGTTTGGTTTGGTGGCTTCGCCTTCTACTTCCTTCCCGGTCTCCTGATGCCCTGCCTCAGCTACTTCAACGTCATCACTTGGTTTGCGCCGAAGAACGTAGTTGTTGCCAACCTCTTTGGCGTCGTTTCCGGTCTCGGATTGTTTCCCTTGACTTTTGACTGGGCCCAGGTCACCTATATTGGGTCTCCTCTCTTGGTCCCTTTTTGGGCTGCTATGAACGTTGTCGGTGGTCTTGTCATCGTCATGTGGCTCATTGCACCCATCGCCTACTACGCCAACGTCTTTTATTCATCCTACATGCCAATCCTGTCTTCTGCCGTATTCGACAACAAAGGCGAGGTTTACGATGTGAGCAAGATTCTGACCTCCGAATTTCTTTTCGACAAAGAGGCATACAGCAAGTACAGCCGGGTCTTCTTGCCCATCACATACGTGCTCAGCTATGGTGTTCAGTTTGCTGCCCTAGCGGCGCTCCTGACGCATACGGCTTGCTGGCACGGCAAGGACATGTGGCAAACGTGGAAGACGGCTATGGCGGAAGCTCGCAATGAAGGACAAGCAGTCTACCAGCCTGTCTCGGGCAGCTCCGAGCATATCAGACCTCAGCGATCATCCAGCAGCAACGGAGGTCTCTCAAGATCATCTTCCAACCTCGAAGGCATGATGTTCCGTGAAGATGTTCATTGCCGACTGATGAAGCGGTACAAGGATGCGCCGTTATCCTGGTATCTGGCGACATTTGTCACGATGCTGGCGGTGGGCATCTTCGTCGTTGAATAGTAAGAAGACCCCCTTCACTTGCTGAAATGACACTAGGCTAACAATCCAGTTACCCAATTCATCTTCCGTGGTATGGCTTGCTCATGTCACTGGGTATCTGTGCCATATTTTTCATCCCTAATGGCATCATCATGGCAGTGACCAACCAGCACAGCAGCATTTACTTGATCTGCCAACTCATTTGCGGTGCCGTGTTTCCTGGCCGCCCAATCGCAAACATGGTGTTTGTAACTTATGGCTACATCTCGTCAGCTCAGGGCATCAAGTTTGCCTCTGATCTCAAGCTTGGTCACTACATGAAGATTCCGCCCCGGATCATGTTTTCGGTGCAGATGGTGGCCACGATTGTGTCGTCCCTGACTCAAATTGGGGTTCTCAACTGGATGTTTGCCAACGTCAAGGGCATCTGCACGCCGGAGGCTGTCAATGGCTTCACGTGCCCGATCGCGAGGGTGCACTTCAACGGCTCCATTCTCTGGGGTGTGGTGGGACCGGGCGAGTTTTTCGGGCCGAACGCGACGTACCGCGGACTTGTGTGGTGCTTCCTCATCGGGGCCATCGCACCGATTCCCCTGTGGCTCTACGCACGCAAGAACAGACACAGCATTCTCCGAAAGATCAACCTCCCGGTTGTTTTTGGATCCATGGCGTGGATCCCGCCGGCGACGGGACTCAACTTCTCGGTGTGGGCGGTGGTTTGCTATGTGTTCAACTACCTGGTCAAGAGGAGAAAGAGCGCATGGTGGGCAAAGTACACCATGACCATGAGCGCGGCGTTGGACTCGAGTCTGGCATTCGGTATTGTCGTGGTTTTCTTCGGCTTCGTCTACCCCGGATACATGAAGGGCTTCAAATGGTGGGGCACGGAAGTATACAAACAAGGCTGCGATTGGCAGGCGTGCTCGTACAATACCGTGCCTGAAGGAGGGCATTTCGGCCCTGACAAGTGGTGATTGCTTTGACGATACGAAACGAAACGACTTCATGGTATCTATTTCACATATTTTTGGCATGGCAAGCGGGTGTGGGAACTGCATATTTTTGATTGCAAACACGGGATCCAAGAGATGGAGTTTTTTTCCCCTTGTTTTTCCCTTTTTTTTTTTTTACCTTTTTAACCATGCACCGGGATCCAAGTTTTGGAGATAATGAATCACGCATTTAGAGCAAGTCATAGAGAGAGATGTTGCATTGCGAAATTGATTCGAGATCATTTTGGGTCGCGGTTTACACCTTCCTCAAGTTGATTATTGCATTCCCACTAAATCATTGCTGAATGAGGGTGTGAGTCTTGATCTGAGTCACAGGTAGGGCCTATGACTCTTACCAACCGTAAGCTTCCTATGGGGGTCAAGTCCGTCAGGGCGGGCTTCAGACCGTGTGCCCCGCAACGAGCTGATTTTTGTCCGTGCCGGGTTACCACCGACCTTCTCGAAACGGATTGGAGTGGACGGGCCGGCATTTGGATCCTTCCGTGTTGCGCGGGTTCCAGGCCTCTGTCAGCGGCGTGCACCACAAGTCGGCGCAAGGAGTCCGAAAGGAAGGACGTTGAGAGGATTTGAACGCATGAGATTATGACTAGCGAATGAGTCAATCTGCAGTGTTGCAAACTAGGTTTAATTACGAATAGACTTTTGCGTTGTAAATGAGGCTAGGCGCTCCAGAAAGATTTGCGGCTTTTGCGAATCCAAGGAACCTTGCCTCGAGCTTCTCCTCGGTTGTTTGGCGATTTGGTGATTGCTGTTGGGGCCGATGTCAATTGCGACGTCCTATGGGAGTGGGTCCTGTCCTTTGACGGCGTCAGCACTGGGGAATTATGCGAAGGATGCGATATGCAGGGACTACCTTAGCAGTGTTTGGATAATCATGGATGTTGGCGGAGGGGTTAGAGGTTCAGAGGAGGAGGAGGAGGGGCATAAGGTAAGGTACGGAAACATGAAAGAAGATTTAAGAGGGCTCTGTAGGACGGAACCTGGGTTGTGAATGTTAGAAAAAGAGACAAGAGACAGCTTTCATCCCATTCAAGGTCACGTTTTCACCGTTACATCCCAACACTGGAAAACTCAATTCCTCCAACTCTCTCCATCGTTCATCTCATCTCAAAACGATCCAAGCCAAGCGTTACCGCAATCACTTGTCAGATCCACGTTGAATAAAAAACAAAACATTTCTTTACAAATCCAAGACACACATACAAGATAATATACGCCGTGTCTCCCAGAAGAAGACGAAAATCGCAAAAATCATGGCGCCAACGCAAGCAACTCACCTCCCCACGACGCTCCGCTCCCGCACCCACCCGATCCTTCTCCGCACCCTGGAGCCGTCGGATTTCGCCGCCGTCTCAGCTGTGCTATCGAACCCGGAGAACACGAAATACGACCCCCACGCTTCGGCCGTCTCACCCGAGGTGGCCAAGGTTGTGATTGAGCGCATGCGGGAGAGCGCTTCGGTGCCGAGCGTGCTCGACGAGGCGAGCGGCCGGGTAGCCAGTGGCCCGGGCAGGGTGAATCTGCTCGTCGTCCTTGTCGACAACGACGACGACGACGAGAAGGAGGAAGAGGAGGGGACTGTCATTGGGTTTGGCGGGTTTGGGTGTATCCAAGAGCACGAGGTGGACGGGAAGAAGGTGAGGGTTGGTGATGTTGGCGTAATGATTAACCCTACGTTCCGCGGACGGGGGTTCGCGACCGAGGCGATCCGGTTGGCTGTCGAGTGGGCTTTCACGAGTGTTGCGGAGGGCGGGCCGCAGTTTGATCGGGTGACGGCTACGATGCTCGAGAGGAATAAGCCGATGGTTGGGTTGATTGAGGGGAAGCTTGGATGGAAGGGGGTTGTGACGCCGGGCAAGGAAGGGGTGGAGGGGGATGGGGAGGTGTTATTTGAGGTTACCAAGGAGACTTGGAGGAAGTGATCTGCGTCCTGGGTGAGGCGGAGATGGTTATTGAAGAATTGTGAGGGCGCGCAGTGGGGGCGGGTCCCTTTGGGCCTGCGTCTTGGTCAGTTGTTGTTTGGAGCCCGATGTATGAAGGGATATGAGAGGTACCACAGTCGTAGTAGAATATGATCATAGATTTACTCTGGTCAGCGGCTAGATAATGTTCATTTATCTTCTTCCATATTGCTTGAGCAGCAACTCATGATTTGCATCGGGAGTCCTGCCTGAAGCAGATTGCCTCGGCCTCGACCAGCAGGATGGTTATATGGGTATGCTGCTAGGGCTGGATCCGGCATGGAAGAAGCTCTTATACGACTGAAAGCATCAGGGTCGACACGCTTGTGCCATCGTAGTGTCTTGAATACTAGGCGGAGGACCAAGCAGGGACGATGAAGATGTGTGTATGTGTGTGTGTGTGTGTGTGAGAGAGAGAGAGAGAGAGAGAGAGAGAGAGAGAGAGAGAGAGAGAGAGAGAGAGAGAGAGCAGGCGTAACATGCGCTCTGGTGATATACGTTGTGGTGTTGCGACGAAATCTCGACAACTTTGCTTTCTCATTTTCTCGCACGAAGCTTGGGTTGCTCAATTGCCGGCTGTGGAAAAACGTACGGGATTATCGACTTATCTCTACCATGATGCCTGCCCGGTAGCAAGGAGCACGTCGTCTGTCTGGTGTCATGAGGAATAATAGGCAGGAAAGCCAGGATGGTGGGCTTGGCAGCATT